GGAAAGTAGTGAAGTAGGACCTACCAGTGGCGCCCTTCAACCACCCGCCAAAAATAAACAATCTTGGTCAGATAAAGAGAAACAGTAATCTGGAAAAGGAAAGTAGCTTTTTTAAAGAAACTTCCAGGAGAACAAGGCAGATGACGCCGGGAGGGTGGTTGGAGGGAGCCTCTAGGTAAGTCCTACTTCTTTACTCTTCTTCTGTTGTTTCTCACAGTAAAATTGTAAATGGACTGATTCATCAATGGCATGCTCATAACTGTGCTTGATCTACAACAGGGAACTGCTGCTTTTTCTTTCCTCATCCTTACTATCGTCATTTTTCCTCTACTTCTTTTGTACGTTTGTCACACTCTTGTGACCCACTATTTCTGCGGTGCTTGATAGTCGAAGCAGACTTTGTGCTGTTGAAGATAGAGAGGTGAGCAGAATAAGTCCGATTCCCTGTAAGGACTTCTCTGTTGACATCCACCCTTTGGCACTCATATGACCTTATGCAGTTGCGAGCGCCGTAAAACCTCTACTTAACCTAAATTAAACAACCAAGCAAGACTCGGTTAAATGTTTCAAAGTCGGGCTCCTCATAGCGACACAGAGGTTTGTACCTGGCTCTGAACTTGGTGGACACAGTGACGTAGATAATGAAGTTAACACAGTTTGAAAGGCAAACTGCATATAAGCAATTTGCAACACGATGACAAGCTCATAGTATTAATCAAAGTTTGATTTTCACAATGTATGCAACCAAACAATACTCGGTTCAAATGTGCATGAAAGTTGTGCTCCTTAGCGACACAATAATTTCTTGTACCTGGCTCTGAACTTGTTGGACACAGTGACGTAGATAATGAAGTTGATACTGGCGTTGGTGACGTAAGCAACTTCAGTTAGGTACTGGACAGTGATGTAGACAGGGTCGTTGAAAATATCGTCTGGTATGCTGAAGTAAAGGTAGAAATGGACGATGGTCGAAGGAAATATTGTGACAAAGAAAACGGTACAAACTATCAAGAGCATTTTCATAACTTTGGAGTCATCTACGGCTGTTTGGGTCGTGTGGGTCATGCTTTTTCTCTGCTTGCTGTTTAAGGTGAGCTTGAAACTAATGGCGCATCCAGAAGCTAGGACAACGCCAAGGGGAATTGGACCCGCGTAGATATTTAAGGGGACTCCACCGTACAAGTTGATCAAATCAAAGTTTTGCTTATAAAAGGGTGTGGGAACAACTGTCGCCACAGTTGTGTTATAGATAGAAGAATATTCCCATTTGTACGTGAACACGGCGTAAAACGGTGACATTGCAAAGACATAAGACAAAGCTGTTAAAGATGCTATAACTGCCGTATTTTGCGGTGTGAAATATTGAGACATTTTGAAAGGGAAAAACACAGCTACAAAACGTTCGACTGAAATCACAGCTATGAGACCTGTAGATATCGCCACGAATGTTCTGGTTACCATGTGCAAAAAGCAGTATGTCAGGTTGGAGACACTTGTACCCAAAGGTTCATTGAAGTAGAAGATAATCCCACCCAAACAAACTAACGGTTTGGTCAACACGAAGGCGAAATCACTGAGAGACAAACCGAAGAGAAGGACCGTTGAGCTGTTGCTTTTGACTCCGTGCTGACTCAGAACGATGATGTTAAGCATGTTGCCGACTAGACCAAAGACGGAGACGATGGGGATGTAGATGTTGTTACAGATGAGCCCAATCAGTTTGATCACGTGAGGGCCGAGGATGTTGCTCTCGTTACTGGCCTCATTATAAAAGAGGTTGTCTGATTCAGACACCGTTGTATTTGCTGTAAACAGTGTCGTGTGACCTTCAGAGTTAATGACCTTGCCGTCAGCGACTTCCATGGCTGCACTTTTTTTCCGTACGGTACCAACACAATCTTTACAGACAAATGAACTGAGTTTATTTCTTCATGTGTGTTTTCAGTTCTTCGAGAGTTGCAGGTCAAAAATGGTCTTGTGTACACACTTTTAACCAGTTGCCTCGTTTGTTTTTTAAGCGAATATCTAATTTTAATGTTGGTGTTGTTTATTGTGTTATGCTATGTTATTGGAGAATAGCCGTAGACTTTTTACGCCGCGTTCAACGCAATTTAGACTGGCCAGGACAATTCTGTGATGAGAGGGATACGAGGTCCTACAGACAGACGGAAATATTCGATTTTCAAAAAAGCAATACGTGAATTGAACGCACGTCTTCTGAGTGCGACGGCTAAGTGCTTAACAGCTACATCACAGACACTCTTTGTCCTGTCTGTGATGTCCGATCCAGCCATTCAGAAGAGTGACTTCATTTTGTTTTCAACTTGCTATTTTATCATGCATCCAGGTCAAAAAGGCGATGTTTAGACAACTGTTCGATCATCTTGAAACTCTGTGAATAAATATGTTACGGGTAAAGAAAAACATACGTGTGTCGTACTTGAAAACTTGATGAAAATGACCCCCCCCCCCTTCCTCCCTACCACCAATAACAAATTTGAATTCTAAAGTGAAATGGAAATTTATTATTTGAAAAAATGATTTGCTAAATACATGCATGTTTCACATGGAAACTTGCCGAAGTTACACTCGGGTGTTTCAATGAGCAATTGTTACTTGGATAATTTCCTTGGAAAAAAAAAAACTTCTCATATCTGAAATCAAAGAGTAGACATAGATCTAAATTTAAAAGATACAAAAACCCTTAGTAATAAATGTGAATTTCCTATAAACTTCCACAACACCAAATTGATATTTTTCTTCTTAACTTTTCCTAATTTATGTTCTAATTAGTTCATTTGCCACCTCTTCAAATATTTTCTGAAAAGAACAAAAAAATTTGTTCTAGGGAAAAAGGCAAACACATTGAACTTTTAATGTCACAAAAGTAAAGGAGAAAGGAAGTAAAATGGAAAATAAGTTACCATGGCCCGATATTATTAGCAATTTTTTAGATGTAAGAAATGTTCTATTCTAGACATGATTATCGAAGTGACCGCCAGGCGAGGATTTCAGGGTGTAAAAATGAAGAGATGGCGTAGTAATTGAAAATGCAAATCTCCGAATCTCCATTTATAGTGAGAAGAAAAGAGTAGTTAAGCTTCGAGGTAAAATCAGGCGCTGATCAAAATATTGAAACTGAAGAAATCGGCATTTTTCCGCCCCTTGGGCATTTTACAAAATAGAATTTTTGTTTCTTGGCTCAACACCTTTTACTTTTATGTCCATTTAAAAACACATTTCTGTGTGCGTATACTGAAAATCGCTGAATAAAGACATTGACATTTAAAAAGAGAACATGGAAGAAAAAGATCATCATCAGCATCATCATCACACCCTATTTTTCTTGTTTTGCTTTCTAGAAGCAATACAATTTGTAACAAGCTGACACATTTTTTGTAACTTACAAATATCGGCACCAAAATCGGGACATTGGGACTAAAAAAGGCACCAAAAAATGCTAATTTTCAGTGTCCAAGAACTCTCAAACCATGGAAGTCACCAAACCTTGGCGGTCATATTCTCGCTGATTTTATCTCTGAGGCCAGGCCACCCCCACCTCTTTCAATCGCAAATATCTCGACTTCTGTTCAAGATTGACGTGTTGTTGTTGTTTTTTTTTTTAACCAAATGCAAGACAAATGAACAAACTTTAAGATGGTACAAATAACTTCTCATGCCCAAAAACTGACGAACGCCTGATTCCACCTCGTCGAGACACAGTATTTCGTTATTGAAACATTGAAGTACAATTCCCCACAAACGTGGTTTTGATATCGACCAATAAAATAGACTTCCCCTCTTGGATCGACCTTACGTCTTTTACGTAGAACTACAAAGATTCTAACCAATACGGAAGCATTTGGAAGAAATATATGATTATATGTTCATTTTCATAAACCTGATAGTGGAGTATCTCCGCACCAAACTATGTATGTGCCGTTTGACAGGAAAAAACTTTCATTTACCGCTTACGAAATATCTTCACGTCTTCAATCGTAAGACAAGTAACTAGTAACATAATATTGTTATGTACTAAATCAGCAGACCACCTGATAAAAAAGCACTTTTCTTTGTTCCTGTATACCACTTGTAAAGATAACGCGTGTGCACAGCAACTTTTTGTCTGATAACTACAATTGGATTTTGACTAGGTCTTCGTTCAACAGTCGCATTACCTTAAAAAAGACGACACGAAGAAACGCAAATTTGTCCTTTTATTTAGTTGAACACAAACTCTATCTTTTAGTTGTAAATATTCCCTGGAGCTATGATTAAACCAATTTAGTAATTATAGCCTCCTGAGGCTGACTTTGTCATCTATCAGTTTAAAACGATCCGGCGATAAAAATGTCTTCTACTTGACGGGTGCGTGTCCCCTTCCCCCTTTTCTCCGATCGGCCTGCCTTTTTGCCCTCAAAAATACATCAAAAACGGAAATTATGGTATTTTTTCGACAGTAAATTCCCTGGTTCTATATATGTTATAATCACACACAGAGGGAGCATATTTCTGTTCATCTATGAAAGCAAAACAAATGCTAGGTTTGACAATAACTGTCACAAAAATGCTTTTCGTAACGAGAGACCAGATAATTCTTTAATGATATCATGCTTGGAGAAATAGCTTCAACCCCACGAACTACCTAAATTACCCTATTTCTTACCTAAGAACTGTAAATAAGGGGTAATTCGTCGTGACAGATTTAGCTTCGACTTTTAAGGATGTCAATGTGACTTCCCGGTAGTTTCTGTTCAATAATAGCTAATCGTAAGATAATATAGGTCCGTATCATGCTGGTCGTGATTTATTGGGCTGTGTGTTGGCTTACGCGGGTGGTTGGGGGGCACCTCTAGTTGGCCCTACTTCGTCGCTTCCCCTCTGTTGTCTCTGTCTGTCTTTCTTTTTTCCCAAGCACTAAATAACCACCATCCCTGTCTCGATGTGCTTCTCTTTATTCAAACTCAAAAATAGTTGACTTTGCCTGGTTCTCCTACCTCTTAGTACGTTTCTAAACGAGATCGACGCTAAAACTAAAGGTCTCTTCTTCAACGTTACCCCCACTGTGATGGAGATAACACCAACCAGACACCGTAGCATGTTTATATGGAATTTTGAACAAACAAACTTTACACGACGAACTAGATGGGAGAATACAGCCGTTTTCGCCTTTGTTTTCCGTTTTTGCGCAGTTTTAACCCAGTTGCTTGGTATCGTGTTAAGCAGCAATCCGCATAACCTTTGCTCGAAATCCCAAAAGTACTTTCTTGAATCTTGAAACCTTAATGTTTTGTTAGTTTTTATGTCTTTGCTCCCCCTTGGCTCGATTCTATGAAAGATGACAGACAATAAATTAACTTTGAAGTGTACAACAGGGTCTTAAATCCAAACCATCTTTGCGCGTAGCGTAAACTGGAACCGCTGCAATTAATGAAGTTATTCACTCAGATTCACACACTGTTGGGGACATTAATTGATGCGACCATCAAATTGAAGGCTTTCGGGTACTTTCAAAGAAGAAAAAGAGAGGAAGGAAGTTTAGTTATCACGTCACCAGAGTTTGGGTTATGCGTAAGGCCAAATCATTCAAAATCAACGATGTCGTTAATCAAGACTTACGCAGGGAGAGCACTGAGAGAGATGTCCAGCTTCTTCACCATCAGTCTCGTCTCCAACAAAGTGTGCAAGTTGTTTAGATGTGATTGTGTGTAGTGCTGAAGTGCATCGTGCTTCTTCTTTTCTGTTTGTTTTTGTTGGCTTTTGTTTGTTTGTTTGTTTGTTTATTTGTTTGTTTGTTTGTTCGGTTATATATATATATATTATATATATTTATTCATTCCTTCATTCATTTATCTATTTATCTATTTATTTATTTATTTATTTATTTATTTTACTGGGGGGGGTCGTTTTGTTAATAATGTCTAGTTACCGACTCCTCTGGAATCAAAAGATTTTTAAAAACTGCGAAAAATCCGCGTACAAAGGGGAATAACAATCAATATCTCAAAAGAAAAACTAATCACCTGTATAGTAATATATAAAACATATGTTTAGCCTGTGTTTGTTTCATACGCTTTATAACATACTATAACAAAACCCCAAAAAATAACATAATCGGATCTGTAGAAGCCGAAAGTAGTTTCGTTTCGTCAGCCGACGTGAATTAGTTCACTGTGCGAAAATCAATTAGTGTTTCTGCGTTCTTAACATGTGCACCATTCAACATTTTGTGACAGTATTTTGCAAGCTGGTGAAATATGTTTAACTTCTTTACTTTGAAACGTGTCAATCAAAGACCAAACGTTCACTCGGTATATCGGAGCTGTTAAATAACCCCCATGTCTTTGTCTGAAAAGGTTAGTTCAGATTGAAATCTGTGTGCCCTGAAGAGACAGTGTTATCAATCATTGACATAATAATATTATGATAATATGATATTTTACACACATTTTTCTTTTCGTTCCCCTGTGGCTGTGAGATCTAAAGGATAGTCGACTACTGGTTCTTCAGCCTGCAGTGCAACATATTTTTACGTACGAGTTTTGCTTACTTCGTGGGGTCCTTTGCCATCGGGCAACCACATTTCAATTTCGATGATACTCATTATATATCATAACTAGTTGTAAAAAACAAGCAGCTCTTAAAATGTTCTAAAATGAAGATGTGAGGTAGACACATCTTGTTTTTTCCTTTCCATTTACTGGCCTCGGAGAACTTTTTGTTGTGTACACTTTATTTTTACAGTGTGGTTCACATATAAATGAGGGCACTTCGGTTCTCAGTTGACATCATGACACTGGTTTGAACCCCTGGGAAGTTGTTCTTAAAAGTGGGATGTTTGGAAGGGGGATGTGTCATTGCTATCAACGTACTGGGCTCGGCCCTACCAGCAATGAACGCATCACGGAAGGTTCCGTCTTTACGACAATCAAGGAGCGTTCAAACCACATAATGCCATGCAGTTCCGTGTTGAGTATGGCAATACATGTTTGTTTTTGTTTTAGTAGAGGTTTTACGGCGCTCGTAACTGCATAAGGTCATATGAGCGCCGGAAGATTAGGTGTTACAAGAGAGTAACAAACATAAAAAAGAAGAAGGGGAGATAAGGACGATAGATGTTTCATTCGAAAGAAGAAGCAAACCACACCAGAGCACCCGCCAACCACCCACTTGGCAATACATGTATTATTTTGCTGAGATTACACGAGGAATTGGAAGTCTTTATTTCCTCTACAAGCACTATAAAAAGAATGGCGTAAAGAAAAAAATTAGAGGAGACATTGGGTGGGGCGGAGTTAAAAACGTATATGAAAACGAGTGTTTGCCCAATCATAAATCTTACGTCAAAATCTTTATAACATCTGGCCTATCGCCTATTTCTGCTCTGTCAACAATTGTTGAGGCTTAACTGCATGTGCATAT